CCCCAAAACCCCAAAACCCCAAAACCCCAGTAGATTATGAATTGGCGGGCAACAGTAATTTCGAAATTTAATAGTAAATTGTTAAGAAAATGTCATTAAATGCAGCTAAATTATACTTGTTAACGAATACCTCGCTTAAAGATGAAAGTTAAGGAAAATCAAAAGTTTGAAAGATAAGGAGAGTTAGGGAAAGTTAAGAAAAATATTTTTAAACTATTAGGGAAATGTTAAAGAGACATATACTTGTTTCTATAGATATATATTCATGATAAGATGAGGTGCTGTGAGTTATATGGCTAATCTCAAATTGAGACCCCCTCACAATTCAGCATCCCCTCTCCTTTGAGAATCTCTCATTCTCTCTGATTCTGGCTTCATTGTTGATGGTTGAGGTTGAGTTCAGCTAGGTTGGTTTAAGCATTGGCAGAGTCATTGTTGGTCTTCTTCTTTTCAGCAGATTTCATGGCAGTGATCTTCTTGCTAACAAGTTGTTGTTCTCTCTTGAGGCTAGCCTCATCAAGCCTCTTGTAGATCTCAATTCTCTTAGCTTCAGCTGAGGTGTTTCTTCTGACAGCGAGTTGAGTTCTGATCTCCTCTACTCTTGAGATGTGATTTCTAAGTTTCTGCATTCTCTGCTCTCTGACAGTGAGTCGTTTTTCAACAGCCTTGTTCAAATAGGTCTCAAGTTTCTCCTTCAATTGGTCTTAATGGACTCTCTCCTCAGAAATTCTTCTCTCAAAGGCACCGATTCTGCGTCTCTCACGGTTCAGCTTCGAGTCCTAGACAACAGTAATGGTCTATCTTCTCTTCTCCTCGGCTCTCTTGAGCTTCTCAGAAATCTGCTCCAAGGTGACAGCTGGACCTGCTGCGGCTCTCATGTAGGCAGCTTCTTCAAGCTTCTTCTTGATCTCTGGCACAGCAGTTTGAAGTGAGGGTACTTGGTCCTTGATTTCAACTTCGAAGACGATTGAGTTGGTGGTTTGCTTCTGATCTTGCATCATTGTTCTTGTGTGTGTAAGTGATTAGGAAAGTGAGTACAAAAGGTAGCTCAAATAATTGAATTGATTATAGTTTTAATCTTAAAATTGCTTAAATAGACTGGGATTTCTGGCAAAAAGAGAGTAAATCCCGACAACTTTAAAAATTAACTGATGAACAAATTTACTCTTGACTATTCTTACCTGAATCTAAATTCCTCAACTTTATGGGGTTTTGGGGTTTTGGGGTTTTGGGGTTTTGGGG